AATCTAGGTATGTGAAATAATGAAAGTGATCATATGTGTGTATATGAAGTGAATTATGTGCTTATATGAGAAGTGATAAAAGAGATATGAAAATGAGAAATGTATTCATAATTAAGCCCATGTTATATGATATGAGAGCTGTAGGTATAATTGGCATGCCAAGAGTCGAGGGATTATCAATGGTCCTTCGGGACATAGTGGTCGTTCGGGACAAATATTTAGTGCCCCTAGTGGGAATTTATTCGAGCTATGGTGACAACATTCGTGCATAACCTCAGTGTACTCATGTGCCTTCTGTTCTCAATAATATACATGGGCATCTAAAGATAAATTGAATGAAAATTATTATAAGAAGTTAAAGTTCAATTATGCAAATCATAATTATATATATGTCATAGTTTATTAAATACATGCACATTGCAACATTATTATGGATTGATAGTATTGCATGTTCATGAATCTATTGTTATATGTTCATTTTATGCCTCATTAAGTCTGTGACTTAGCGTGTAAGTGATTTACACGTAGGTACCAAGAAACCAGAAGATCAGAATTAGGAGTGGCAAGGACAACATCACTACTAGAAGATCAGATCAGAAGTAATTAGCAAAGTATGTGTTTTGTTGTATTTAATATGTTGGCATGTAAACAATTTGTTAATTACGAATGCTCTGATCGATTTTGTATTGTTCTGGTCAAACTTTTGTAAGTTAACAACTTTTATTTTAATGAAAGTTCAAAATTTCCATTGATTTTCTTTAAGAGTCACAGTTTGAAAAGTCAATGTGACACCTCGGACTCGTATCCGGGTCGGGTACGAGTTGGGCTATTACAATAGTACATTGATGACAACTTAGTGGGCATGTAGAGGTTATGATTTAAAAATGGATAAATTTGTAATATTTCATTTATTTATTGAGTTTTTAAATTGAGGGTCTTGTTTTGTAAATTATAATGTTTTATACTTGATGTTAATATTAAAATGGATATGGTTTTAAAAGAAAAAATGATTAGTCATTTCGGTGATTTCGTGTGACACTCGAATTTATGGGATTGGAGTGTTACACATAACCTCTACATGCCCACTAAGTAGTCATCATTGTACTTAGGTACTCCTCAAAGACTTCTCTGATGATATTGTTATCCTATCACGCTCTATGTAACCTATAACCTATGAATAAAAACATATTCCGAACGTTGAGCTAATAAGCTCAGTTCCACATAATAACTCTATTATGTTATATGCATCCATAACATAAGTATGCTAACACATAATATTACAACAACACAAGAATGAGGTTCATGTCTTATGTGCATCAAACACTCATCTATAACACACAATAGACATCATATGTAGTCTGAGGTCACCATAGCATCACAAAACTCACACCCACTAATTAATACAAATGATCTCCTAGTCTCAACATAACTTGCGAGTATATATCATGGATAACATAAATGCATCAAGTATACAACAACATGTAAGCATCATGGTTAGTCCATGGTCAAATAATATCATGTAACTCACACCTCTCTAGCCTACAGAAAGGTACTCTAGATAAGATCTAAGTCGCACAATATCAACATCTTACATCCAAATGGCACTCACTACCAAGTACCTAGGGTAGGGGTGAGTATTCGATCGAGTTGAGTCGAGTTAAAAAATTTCGTGTTAACAAGTCATATTTTGTAACTCAAACTTAACTTGAAATTTTTTCAAGTTGAGTCGAGTTATTCGAGTTTCTATACAAATTTTATTATAATTATTTATATTATTATTGTAAGGATTAATTCTAATTTTTAAATTTTCTCTAATCATATAAGAGATATATATTTCTTCGTATTCTTTAAACAATATAATATTATTTAATATATCAAATATAATCTAAAATTATAAATATATTTACAATATTATATTTTAAAATAAGATATTTTGAGGGTAAAGTATTGTTGAGAATATAAAAGATTCAAGGAATTTATAGGAAGAAAGAATTTGCAAACAATTGCAATCAAAAGATTAAATTGAGTAAAATGCAAAGTTAAGGGGCTAAATAAGAAAGGGGGTATATTTTTTTTTTGTAAAAAATAAGAATTGAAGTTACATAGGTATTCTAGTGGTATAGGAGAATGTGATTCAAATTTGGTTAAAAATGGACTTAAAATGAATGATGAATTGAAGAAATGAAATCATGAAAAATTGAGGGACTAAATTTAAAAATAAAAAATTGTTATCAAAAAGAGAAATTGAAAGAACATATGTATTCTACGATGGTTTAGGATCACACGGTTCAAATTTGGTAAAGAATGGACTTAAGATGAATTAGATATTGAAGGAGTAAGGAAATCATGGCGTAAGTCGCAAAACTGTAAAATAGTCAACTAAAATTTCCATTATTCGAGTAACACAAAATTTACAAATTCCAACTCGACTCGAACTCGAAAACTGAATTAATAATTCGAGTTGACTTGTATAAATCGAAATTTAAAAAATTTGATTTTTCGAGTCGATTTTTGCTCACCCCTAACCTAGGGTGAGATTTAGGTCACACGGTATCAGAAACATACACCAACTAGTCTACTCCTTTAGAGTATTATGGATGTGTCTGGGTCACACAATATCAAAACGACATACGAATAGCATTTTAAATGCCTTAACACGACTCTTAGGATATCTATATAACCCTTCTAATACATCTACCATACATAATAGATGGTCGTCATAAACAAGTAACTCAGATGTTCTCGCCATTTCCCGAGTGTCAAACAAAGACATAAGTCTTATGGATTTTTACCTCATAAGATTCTTATGATTATCGTGCATAACACATTATCATCATAATAATGTTATCGAGTATTCATTATCAAGCTCTCACTATAGAGCTAAACGTCTCATCGTATATCATTAATATTCTCATTATTAGTCATTCATATTATTATTCGATGTTCATTAATATTCTCGTTATTAATCGATTATAGAAATTCTAGACTCATCACTCAAGTCTTGTTTCACTATTCAATTACATTGCTACTCAAGCTCTCACGCAAGAGTTACACGCTTGACTATACTTTAATAACCATCGCATACTACCGGGTTCTTATCATTAACTATTACTCTCAAGTTAAATGCTCGATCTCAATTGTTATTATACTTCTCGCTCTCGAGTCTATTTGACATTTCAAAGTTCACTAATCAATCCTCACAAATAATATTAATACTTCTGCACAGGTACCGATGCTAGCCTATACAATATTGATACTTCCCCTTGAGTATCGATAACTAAAATAACCTCAAAGTTCATTAAACAACCTTTAGTAATGATAACAAGCCTTTAGTATAGATACCTAATCTTTAGTATAGATATCAGTTTATCGAGTATGGATACCAAGTCCCCGATATAGATATCAGTTCATCCGGTATGAGTACCAATTCATCTACTATATATACCAAACCTCCAGTATATATACCAAGTATTCAGTATTTATGTCCCCGACTCATTTATACAATTAAACTTTTAATTTTATCAATTACAACAATGAGCTTTAATTTTACATTCAATTATATCACTCTATCGTTAAATCAGTAATAGAACGATGAAATGACTCACAATTAATGACATGTCACACCAAAACAATTTAAATACGTCATAATAAACATTTTATCAAACAAACTTGTATAATAAGTTAAAATTCAATAAAATCACGATAAAATAATTATAATTTACACAATTACACTATGGTATCCTAACACACGTTAATTCTCAAATTAACTGATTTAATATGTTAATCCAATCCATTTTTTGTTTTATTTCCGTTGTTGGAAAAAATTACTCATTACTTTTCGAGTCAGTTTTGATGGTTAAATGGAATTATTTAATTAAAATAAAATTAAAAGTTAAAAATTTGATTCTTATGTTTATATAAATATTAAATTGGTTAGTAATTAATAAAAAATATGCAATAAGAATCAAATGTTAAAAGTAATTAACAGCATGATATACTCATATACCCAAAAAATAATACAAACACAATATCAATACATGATCTTAAAAACATATAAAAGCAACAAACACGATTCAAACGACTTTATTGGTTAAGAAATTGTTGTTATTCCTTGAGGTTTCGAATTCAAATACCATTATTATTATTCCTTAAAGTTTCGGATTCAAACACTATATATGCAAGAGCATGAGCGTACAATGCCATGATTAAAAATCTTTAAAAATATACAATCTTATATTCACCTTAAATTAATTAAATTTCATAGGAAGCATACTTCCAGTGTAAGCCTGCAACTATCGCAAAGAATAACATAAAACGGCTGTAATTTTTTACCTTTGTATTTTCTGTTAATGATCTATTTTCGCTCCTAAAATTTTTATAAATTCGTCCCTCCTAAAATTTTATAAGTTCGCTTCCGCTGCGTCCGTCCCTGCATGTGATTCACTTTAAGGACCATCATAATCATTCTAGACCACACGTCATGGAAAAATAACTAAAACATGACGCAACATCAATGTCACAAGATTTATATATTACAGATTATTATCGTATCAAAATTTATAAATATAAAATACCTTCAATAGGACTCATAATACAAAATATATGAACACAACATAAATATACTATTTGCCTAGTCTCATTCTTTCATTAAAAGATTAATACTGAATTTTTGCCTACCAAGTATTAGTGGGATACTATATAATCAATCTAAAGTAAAAGAATCCATGCTCTAGCCGACCGGCTTATTTGCATCTACTGACAAGCTATCTAGTAGATAAATTGAAGGTTTCAGTTTCTCAAACAAACCCCAAACAAAAATCTCAAACTCTGAATCACCTCTATAACCATAGTATACCCTAGGTTCTCTAACATAGGCATACTATATTTTTTCCCCAAGTTTTTCCATGTGTTCAGCCATACCCAAGTTAGAATATGTGCCGGATATGGTAATTTAGGAAAAGTGAAGAGTTCGGATAACACGAATATACCACATTAGCAAATATTCCCACTAAATATGTTGTATATGTCTCAAACAATAATGTTTATCACACATAGTATGGAATTCTTTTCTATCTACTATCTTTAGGCCTAATATCGATTCCTTCGATAATGAGTCCCTTTTTAGGGGTATAATTATCAACCTCTCTTAAACTACAAGCAGCTTTCCCATCATCTCCATGTTCATTGAAGAACTCACCCAACTTAACCTCCATCCACCCATCCTCTCTCTCACGAGAAAATTGAGGAATATTTGTTGAAGGGTCTAGGAATATACGAAAAGTTCGCCCAGCATCACTTTCTCCTAACTCGACATGCAGGTCTACAGGTTTTTTCTCAAATCCATATCTTGATGATGCAAATTTATAAACAAGGTAAGCTACATAAGTTGTGTTAGGAGACAAATTTTTAGTCTCTATTGTTCCCTTCACATCTAGCCACCAAACTTCTTTGAGCACAGCCACTTCCGAGAACCTATAAACGAGTCAACATGCATTATTTATCGTGAAATAAAATTGTGATCTCATGACAGTGTAACATAGCAAGATAACTATTAGCTTTTGAATCAAATAGGAAGAGAACACAAAACTAGACAAACCTAGACTCAGGCAGATGTTTCCATCTCCAGTACCTTGGCGAGTTTGCCCAAGCAATTGAAAGACGTCGAGCCCCCAACATATAACATTTCTTTCCAGTTGCTTTGTCGAGGCCAAAACTCTGTATCAAGTCATTCAACATACTAATGTTATAGATACATCAAGCAAGGAAAGGATTAAAACTGGGTAGAATATGTAATTCAACTGGTTTGGGTTCATAACTCAAGAACTTAGCTTCCTTTACATATCTCAGTAAAATCCAATTAGAATCATCGAAAAATGTTATATTGAGAAAACCTATATTGTTCACCTTATTTTATCCACTCAAATTTCTCTGCTGAACTAGTGTGGCTTTGCTACTTATTCCATAACACCATTACTCCCTGCATGTATTTCCTAAATGAGGATTCCACAACATTGGCCTCTCATTCATGGATGATCAAGTCACTCGAGAATCAAATCAAGGCAGCATATGCAATTGGTTAATTCTAAAAGTACACTCCCAACAAATTCTCAAGAACTTACAACTAATTCCATAACAAATTATCGACATTACAGATTTTGTATAAAACTAGAAACACAACAAACAAATGCATATAGTCCAGGCGAACTGTGGCGGAGGTTGTCACCTCAGACTTTTCATTCTTTTCTTTTAGTATAAAGGAGGCCGGAAATTGGGGTTAAGGGAAAGGATTGTAGATGTTTCACATTCAAATCCAGGTATATTGGATACCACTTCTTAAGTGTGAGCTATGCTAAAAAAACTCGATGTGCATTGATCTAACTATCTAAGTAAACTCGATGTCTAATATTTCCTATGTTATTAGTCTTAGCAGGCTTATCCTTTCTCACAGTTCTCTTTCCTGACTGACCAGAATTCCACTCATCCAAACATTTATATAGACTGCCCGTCATTTTTCCTACAATTTGCAAAACCAAATCATTTGACTAAATTTAATCTTCAAACTTTCCAAGAAAATTCCCAGTTTGAAACTGATCAAACATAAAGCAGACCAGACAACTTGGGTTCCAACAAAGAACAACACTAAAGCTAAATTCTCCATAGTTGAAAAAGTCAATTTCTAAAATAAATAAACACCCAATAAATAGATTAATACTGATTTATACACTGGGCTACTCTAATTTCATCTAAAGAAAACTACCCAAATTTGAAAGGAAAAAAACCCATTTCATCAGAAAAATTGAAAACAAAAAGTAAGATAAAAGTTTTACCATGGTACCGTTGTCAATAACAATGGGGTTGTTGCAAAGATGGAAATAAAGCTGAGTCTTGGACATGGAAGAAGTCAACTGCATGGAAGATGAAGAGGATGAGACGATATCATAACAATCATGGGGAAGAAATTTGCCCCAAATGGTATCTGAATCAGCGGCTGATCTGAAGACTGGAGAGACAAGCTTTGATCTGCAAACATCTGTTGGGGATGTTAAGGAAAGTATGTAAGAAATACACTCTTCTGGTAATATGTTGGTAATATCTGATTTCATCGTTCTTGTTTACGCCTTCCTGCTTCTCACTTTCATTTCCCAATTTGCTACCAATTTTCGACTTCTTAGATTTTACCGTCTGTTTTTATTTTGTATAAAATACTTAAACAGTCTCCTGATTATGTAACGTTTTTTATAAATAAATTAGGATACTACACCTTTTTTTTTATATCTCAACTATCACTTATATTTCGTTTTAGTCATTAATTATTTTTTAAAATCATATAATATTACGTTTTAATTTCATTTTAGTCACTCACAATTAAGGATTGACAATTGTCGAGTTGAGTAGGGTTTTTGACCAACCCGATCGAGCCTAAATAATATACACCCTTCACTCGAAACTCGACCCGAGTTTAGGGTGACTTCACCCGACTCAAAATTTGGTTCGCCTTTTGATATAAAACTTGAATCCGACACAATCTGGCTCGACACTAATATATTTATAAAAATTCTTAATTTTATTCGGTAAAATAGAAATTTAATTTAAAAAATAATATAGAGAGGGTATTATTATAAAATGGCTGTCCCTTGTTCCCATATGTAATGGGGTAAGGGGGAGGTAAGATAGTAGGCTGCCCCCAACACTAGGTTGAGAGCAGCTTCCGTAGGAGACATCCAAATTATGAAATGCCCTCCATGGGACTCGATCCCACGACCTCAAGGTTAAGAACTTTGTGCTCTACCAACTGAGCTGGATGGGGCATAAAGAGGGTATTATTATAATTATCCCTAAATATATAAGGTATAATTACATCATTTTTTGGGTCAGGTATTTTTTACCCTAAATCCAAACCCAACCGACACGAACTTATCCTCTAAAAAATCTGATTTGACTCAAACTCAAACCTGATATTTTAAAAAAAATGATCCAATAAGATCGGGTCAAGTCGAAACTCGTCGGATTCGAGTATCATGTTCATCCCCACTTACCGTTAAAATTAATAAAACTATTGACACAACATTTTTTTAATGATGACGTGATATTGTCTTATGATAACATATCAATACATCGTCAATTTTTTAACGGTGAGTGACCAAATTAAAATCAAAACTAAACGTTAGATATAATTTAAAAATATTTTTAAATTGGGTGGACACAAATAAAATTTTAGAGTCAACGCCATCAGTAAAATAAGTAATTAATTGAAAAAAATTCAGATTTCAAGGTGATTACGTACTCACCCTCAACCTTCAATAAATCCGCCACTGTCAATTATGATCATGTATGTACTTACTGGTTATTATCATGTCTACTAGCATACTTACGTTTATGAGATACAAATTACTTTTTTGTATGACATTATTTTACTAACAACTTTTAGTAAAAGAAAAATAGTGGTGACATCGCATTATTAACTTGTAGTATAATTTAGTTATATTAGTACTGAAGAATTAGTTTGAATAAATGAGTAAAAAAGTATTAATAGGAATTACATATATAGATATAACGTGTGTGAAAGAAACTAATTAGGTAATTTGTTTAAAATAGTTGGAATTATTACAATAAAAGTATGTGCTTATTATTCATAGATGAAGGGTTGTTTTGGTTTTTTACTGCGAGAATAAATCTAAATTAAAATCTAGATGCCATATTGGTAAGGAGCTTTCGAATCCAATTTTCATATAAAATTTTGTACTATTGAGGTCTCAGTTTGACCACTCCATGATTATAGGTCATTTTGACAAGCCTAATATAAATGTAAACGTTTTACGTATAAGTGTTAATTTAAATAGTACTATTTGGGTCAACAATCTTTAGATTAAGCGGTTAAAAACTTAGAAGTTTTCGGTTAATATTTTTTTAAAGGAAAAAACGTGTTGTAAATGTATGCAGAGTTATTAGAAATCAAAAAATGAAAAAATAATATAAAAATAGATGAAAAATAAAGAATACTAACGATTATTAATGCCGTTGAGGACTAACAAAACTAAAGAAAAAGGATAAGCGGCTCTCGAAAAAAAAAACTACCACAAAAACCCTAAAAGAACTGCACAAAATCATAAAGATCAAAATTTTTGTGACTTTTAATTAATTTGTTAACTATTTTATCAGTTAATATGAATATTTTTGATTTTGTTGGCCAAAGAATCGAGGCGATTTTTTTCTGGGAAATGTAATTATTGAAAAATTAATTTGAGAGCTAGACAATTGTTCTAATGTATTTGGGACTCGTGGTGGTAAAATGATAAATTCCAAAAATACGATAAATAATTAAAACTCAAAACGTAAATATGATGGATTTCATATATTTTTTGTTTAATTTACATGACGAGTTTTACTTTTTTTATTATATTTTATAGAACTCATCGTTAAAATACGTTAAGTTTAATGTATTTTTATATATATTATAACAATTGATTTAGTTCTTAAACTAATTTTTTACGTCTATAATTTTCCACACAAAATGTTTCCAAATTTTATTGAATATTTTCCAACTATAATGCATCACATCCGTGTATTTTCTTTAAAAGATTTCCATTATTTTTCAATTGCATCAAAGCCGTCAGATTTACAATCCAACGGTCAACTGGATGGCATAGGGCAACCTGCACAACGCAGATGCGAAGAATAAACAAGTAAAATTCTGGAAAACCATGTGAATGTGTGATTATCTATTATAGTGTCCAAATTCAGATACTTCGCGTTGCGGCTTCAGTTCCCCCAGTACTAGACTCTTCTTCTAAGTTTCACTTCTACGCTCTCTTCTCTTCTCCACCATCCATAAAAAATGCAGTACAAAAACCTGGGCAGATCAGGTTTGAAGGTGAGTCAACTATCTTACGGAGCATGGGTCACTTTCGGTAACCAACTCGATGTCAAAGAAGCCAAGTCACTTCTCCAGTGCTGTAAAGAAAACGGGGTCAACTTTTTCGATAACGCCGAGGTTTATGTCAATGGCCGAGCCGAGGAGATCATGGGTCAGGCTATTAGGGAACTTGGGTGGAAACGATCGGATGTCGTGGTTTTCACCAAGATCTTCTGGGGTGGTCCAGGGCCTAATGACAAGGGTTTGTCTAGGAAACATATTGTGGAAGGAACTAAGGCCTCGTTGAAGAGGCTTGATATGGATTATGTTGATGTGATCTATTGTCATAGATTGGCTCATTTCAAGATCCGTTTTTTTAAATTTGATTTTCGGGGTTTGATATTGATATTGGTATTTTCGTTTCTGTTCTTGATTTTATGTTTTTCATTTGATTAGTTCATTTTATACAATTTTTCTTGCTTTTGGATATTTGATTTGATGCTGTTGATGTTTTGATTTGAAGTTACATAAAAAATATTATTTATAGAAGATTTTTGGATTATGTATTATAGACTAAGAGGATTTAATCTTATTGATTTATTTTTGTAAATATTCTTGAAGATGTTTGACATTTAGTGTTTCTGGGTCTTAATTTGGCTTCCTTTTTTTTATAAGAAAAAACGTGACTTGTTTGTTGAGGAACTCTAATGTGTATGTGTTGACGGGTAAAGTGATCAACAACCGCGAAGGGTGGTATAAGGTTGAACAAGGGTGGCTCCGGTAGTAATTCCGGCAGCTTTAGAGATGATGATGGTTTATGGTGGAGGATGATGCTTGCCCTCTGCTCGTCATGGAATGTGTATTTATAATGCCTTAGATGTGTGTCGGTTGATCACTTTACCGGTCAACAGTATGGTTTTTTGGGATATAGACTTATTTACTTAGTTCAATGTTTCATATGTGGGATAGTGTATACTCTCTACAATGTGTAGCTGTCTAAGCTCTTTGCTGAGTCTTTGCAGATGGAATTCGGGTTTACTTCTGTATGGTTTCTCTGATTAGTTGTTGGAGTGTAAGTTGGCCGACTTTTCTACTATCTGAGAAACTTAACATGGAGTTCATTGTTTTGATGTTTGATTACAGGCCAGACGCCTATACTCCAATTGAGGAGACAGTGAGGGCAATGAATTATGTGATCGATAAGGGCTGGGCATTTTATTGGGGGACAAGTGAATGGTCTGCACAACAGATTACGGAAGCATGGGGAGTAGCTGAGAGGTTGGACTTGGTAGGCCCAATCGTGGAGCAGCCGGAGTATAATTTATTGACTAGGCACAAGGTGAGTGGTCGGTTGGAACTCTGAATACCCAATATCCACTATTTCTACCTTTTAATTGTTTGTGAACTTTGTTTCGGCAATCATACATGTAATAGAATTCTCAGTATTATTTGGTTTGTGCCATAAAAACTTTCACTTGCCCGAATTTTCTGTTTTTAAGGGGGAATTTTTCTTTCATGTTTCCTTCGGGACTAACAGGTTTTTCACACCCTTCTCTGTATGTCTGAAGGTTGAATCCGAGTACCTTCCTCTGTACACCAACTATGGCCTAGGTCTTACCACATGGAGTCCTCTTGCATCTGGAGTGCTTACTGGAAAATACAGAAAAGGAACAGTACCTCCTGACAGTCGGTTTGCGTTAGAAAATTTCAAAGTAAGAATTCACTAAATATTTGATTTCTTACTCTTGATTTTGCATTTTTATTGATCTTTTTGCCTCAATCTTGAGTGTTGAACATAACCATCTGTAGTCATTTAGGTTCCTTTGTCCTTATTTGTAGAAATTATTTTTAAAAGATTGATTTTAGGCTATGATTCAGTATGTCTTTTGGTTCTTAGGAATCTAACATCTTGTCGATGCATCCATGGTTGTAATAAATATCATTTCTGGTGTTGGCATCCAAAAACGGAACAGAAAGATCAACACTCAACTGTATAGTGCTAGTTGCATGTGCCGATATTATTCTCCAAGCAGACTTAACTTTCCATTTTTAGTCCTAAAATTTGTCAGTTACAATCTTTAGAGATGACTGAAACTTACCCAGCTTAACTTAGCTGCAAGCATTTTTGTATTATATTTGATAATGTAGCTTTTGTTCTTCTTTATGCACTACTAGTTTTAACCTCCTTCCCTGTCGGTCACGAGTAAGCGACTAAACTATGTGTTTTCTTGTGTAGAATCTTGCTAACCGATCACTAGTTGATTATGTATTGAAGAAAGTCAATGGACTGAAGCCAATTTGCTGATGAACTTGGTGTGCCT